AGGGCTTTTGCGCCCCCTCTAAGTGGTGTTCTTTTTTATATAAAGTCAGTTTATTGCCCCACAATCCGGGTCCTCATTTTACCTACCTCGGAAGGATGGAAGGCTGAGTCAACCTTGAGCCTGGTGAGATTTGAAGTAGTTGCAGGCAGCTGGCAGCTAAGTACTACTTTAACAGCACTTAGTCCGCTGTGCTACCAAGGCTCCTAGCATGTCCTTGTGATAACATCAAGGCAAACCCCTTCTAGGTTACTGAAAAGGCCTCAAATGAGAGTTTCAAAACTTGGCTGAAAGCAAACTCTGGTTAAGACAGCTGGGTGAAATTGAAACCAAAGGAAGCCATAATTCCGACCCTCTGAATTTGCTCAAATCACACCTTTTGTTGAGATGGGGAAACTGATTTCTTTCTCTTATCAGGATTTCAAGTATGCATTTGTCTTCTCTCTCTCTCTCTCTCTCTCTTGAGTTGTTTTATTCCATTGTTAGTTCCCCACAAGCAGCTGTTGACGGGTAGGAACAATTTAAATCCTGCTAAGCTAGTCCACAAATACTTTGATTATACCATTTGCTGGAGTTTTATTGTTGGTTTGTTTTGTTGTTGTTTTTTGTTTCAAACCTGTTGCTTGTATTTCAAAGCTGCGGGATTAAAGTTTGCTCAAAACTGGTGTTTAAACTCAACTGGGCAAGTTTTATTTTAACTGGCACAGGTTTATGGTGCGGTCAGGTAATCTTTTTCCTAGACTGAGAGAGGGAAGGGAAGGGGGGGGAAGGAAAGAGAGAAGGAGGGAAGGAAGGAAGGGAAAAGGGGGAAGGAGGGAGGGGGGGAAGGAAGGAAGGAAAAGAAAAAGGGAGGGAGGGAGAGAGAGAGAAGGGAAAGAGGAAGGGAGGGGGAGAGGGAGGGGAGGGGAGGGAGGGGAAGGAAGGGAAAAGGAGGAAGGAGGGAGGGAGGGAAGGATGGAAGGAAAAGAAAAAGGGAGGGAGAAAGAAAGATCAGAAAGAAAGAAAGAAGGAAGGAAGGAAGGAAGGAAGGAAGGAAAAGAAAAAGGGAGGGAGGGAGAAGGGAAAGAGAAAGGGAGGGGGAGGGAGAGAGAGGGAGGGAAGGGAGGGAGGAAGGGAAGGAAGGAAAGGAGGGAGGGAGGGAGAAAGAAAGCAGAAAGAAAAAAAGAAGGAAGGAAGGAAGGAAAAGAAAAAGGGAGAGAGGGAAGGAGGGAAGGAAGGGAAGGAAGGAAGGAGGGAAGGAGGAGAGAGGGAGAGAGAAAGAAAGAGAAAGAAAGAAAGAGGAAGAAAAAGGAAGGAAGGAAGGAAGGGAAGAAGAGAGGAAGATTCTTCAAGCACACGTCAGTGCTGAAATAGTTAGCTCTTTTGTGGTGGTTTGTGATTTTCACAATTACATAAATTGTGTAGCAGATGTAAATGTGACCTCATCTCTGAGGACGAATTAAGCTGCAGAGAGAGAGAGAGAGGGGTGGGTGGGTGGGGGTGGGGGGCTTGGGTAGAGTAGAGGGTCTGGCTGAAACTTTCCCAAACTTGGCTGACTGGGAGAACCGGTCTCATGAAAATGTGATTATCTAGGGATCTCAAAATGGAACCGTGGCGGTTAAACCGGGCATATTTAGCTTGGATACACTTGAGAAAGACAAAAATAACGTCGGATGATGGCCGCGGCTGCCCATCGTAACACCCAGGTAGACGGTGCCGTGCGAATGGATGAATGCAGACTGATCAGAACTTTCCCATCCACGAGAGGAGGGTGAACATTTTCCACTTGTAAGAGCCAAATGGGGTCCACACAACCCATTTTTATGCGCCTTCTCTCTAATCTCAAATAAATAGTTTAGCTCTCAGGGAAGGGACATTTCCCCCCCTCCTCCAGGAGAGTGGGATGAGAGTGGGATGAAGAGCCTTGGTGGCGCAGCAGACTAAAGCGCTGTTAAGTAGCACCAGCTGCCTGCAATTATTGCAAGTTCAAATCTCACCAGGCTCAAGGTTGACTCAGCCTTCCATCCTTCCGAGGTAGGTAAAATGAGGACCCAGATTGTGGGGGCAATAAGCTGACTTGGTATAAAAAAAGAACACTGCTTAGGGGCGGGGGGCGAAAGCCCTACTAAGCAGGTATATACAAAAGTATGAAGGCTATTGCTTAACGCATTGTAAGCTGCCCCGAGTCTCCGGAGAAGGGCGACTTATAAATCGAACTAATAAATAAATAAATAAATAAGTAAATAAATAGATAGATAGATAGATAGATAGATAGATAGATAGATAGATAAATAAACATGTTCCCACCCACCTTTGGGTGACGGCTCCACCCGCTACCTGCCCCAATCCCGCCCCTCGTGGCTCCTCCCCCAATGGGGGTCTAAAACATATCGCTGCTGTGGGAAGTCATTGGCTGCGCCCATCCCGCTCATTTCAGGCACGGATTAGGTGGTTTGTCCACCACGGTGGACATGGCGGTCCCTTACTATCTTCTCAACAAGCACCCAACGAGGGCTTGATGGAGTTGGGTCCTTCAACAGATGGCACACTTGGGTCCTTCAACAGATGGCACCGTTGGGTCCTTCAACAGATGGCACTGTTGGGTCCTTCAACAAAAGGCATACTTGGGTCCTTCAACAGATGAAACACTTGGGTCCTTCAACAGAGATCTGCAAGTTGGAAGCTTCATCACTTGGAAGCTTTCAAGAAAAGCCATCTGTCAGAAATGGTGTAGGGGCTCCTGCTTGGGCAGGGGGTTGGACTAGATGACCTACAAGGTCCCTTCCAACTCTGTTATTATTCTGTTATTCAGAAGTTGTGGGAGCTTCATCACTGGAAGCTTTCAAGAAGAGACTGGACTGTCATCTGTCAGGAATGGTGTAGGGGTTCCTGCTTGGGCGGGGGGTTGGACTAGATGACCTACAAGGTCCCTTCCAACTCTTGTTATTCCATTCTCATCTGAAAAGATTGCGAACAACCAAGCTGTCATTTAAGACCTACAAAGAAGGATCACCAGGGCGATGTGGCGATCGGAATGAGTAATATAGACTCGTACGACTCCCGTTTCAAAATCTCTCCAGATCATTTAAGGCCACGCATTAACTAAATCACCTCTCGTACTTATGCTAAGCTAGAGATGGCTCGTTTCTGATTTCTGGAATATATTCACAACCGGCCATGTTTACACAACACATTGAGGTGTGAAGTTCTCAAGCCGTGAGGAAAAGCAAGAGGACCAGATGAAGAGGTGGGAGAGATGCCTTTAAAATTGCTCTCTGCAGCCATCAACACATCTCGCTACATGAATGAATGGACTGAATGAACACCTCTCGGTGTGTCTACGGGTCGTGCATGGCCACGATTTGTGGGCCCTTGTTGCGAGCTTGCCTAATGTTAACGCGGCCAATGGAAAGCCAACCTCAGTGATTGTTGAGTTCCCCCCTGAAGTAAAAGCTGGAACACAAAGGAAGAAAAAGAAAAAAAGAGGAAGGAGAAGAATCCAGAAAACTCCAGAACAGGGAAGAAGAGGGAAGGAGGAGGAGGAGGAGAAGGAGAGGGGGGAGAGAAAGAAGAGGAGGAGAAGGAGGAGGAGGAGGAGGAGGAGGAGGAGGAGAGGAGGAGGAGGGAGAAGAAGGAGGAAAGAGAAAAAAGAGGAGGAAGAAAAAAGGAGGGGAAGGAGAAGAAGAGGAGGAGTAAGAAGGAGGAGAGGAAGAGAAAGGAGGAGGAGGATTAAGAAGGAGGAGGAAGAGAGGAAGAGGAAGAAAAAGAGGAGGAGGAGGAAGAGGAGAGACAGAGGAGAGGAAGAGGAAGAGGAGGAGGAGGAGGAGAAGAAGAGGAGGAGGAGGAGACAGAAGAGGAGGGGAAGATAAAGAAGAGGAGGAGGGGAAGGAGAAGAAGAGACGGAGGAGGAGGAGAGGAAGAGAAAGAGGAGGAGGAGGAAAAGAAGAAGAAGAAGAGGAAGAGGAAGAGGAAGAGGAAGAAGAAGAAGAAGAGGAAGAGGAAGAGGAAGAGGAAGAAGAAGAAGAAGAAGAAGAAGAAGAAGAAGAAGAAGAAGAAGAAGAAGAAGAAGAAGGACATTCTACATTCCTCCACAAAAAGCCAGGTTCAACAAGAAGGAAATGTGATTTCCCCTTCACACTATTTTCGCACTGCTTTCTGTCAAATCACCAGCTCCAATTAAATCAGATTCGAAGCCCGCATGCCAGGACCCAGGAAGAGATTCCATCCCTTTTAGCCCAGTGCTGCAGGGCTAAATAAGCGAGCCATGGATGCACACAGATTCTCCAGCCAGAACCTTTGCAGGTGTTTCCCCCCACACCAAATTCAGGGCGGGGGCCTCTCCCCACCCCGTTCCCCTCCCCGATCTCCCCAGAACCAACTTCTACCCTTCTCTCCAAACCCAAAAAGCAGGAATTTTGTTTCCTGCAAGGCAAAAAAAACACCCGGCAGTAATGACGAAGGAAACGCAGCCCCCCAAAAAGAAGAGGAATTCGGCAAGGGGGAATTTTTTAAAAAAACAAAAAAAAAACCTTCCCAGCCACCACGTTTGGGAATCTTCCTTTCCCAAACAACCCCTTGTCCTTCCTTAAATACAGAAATTCTCAATTTCTGGTTATTGTTTTCCTTCTTTTTTTCCCTCTTTTTTTTTTCTTTCCAATGCAATCTCCTTTGGACAGATTTGCATTTTTGCACCTTTCTTACAGAAAGCAAAAAAAACAGAGCCTTCCCACTCCGGCAGACAGAGAGAGAGAAATTCCCCATCCCTTAAGCGTTGCAAGAGACCTCTGCATCAAATGGGAAAGGCAGGCAAGGCAGGCAGGAAGGCCAAAAAAACCCGGTCCAATTGCAAGAAGGAGGGAGGATGAGAAAGACATTACATCCCTCCCAAAAAAATACCTTTTGGGGAAGGGGGTACCACCACCACCCCTCCTCCCAAAACCTCTGGATTCGAATCCTTTGCAAAATAATAACAAGCATCCGTAATAAAGGAGGAGGAGGAGGAAAATCAAAAAAAAAAAACTTACCAGCTCTACTGAACCGTAATGTTTCCTACTGAATTCTCCCCGTCTACAGCCCAGATCTTCGGAGACGGAACTGGAATAGAATTGCTTCATTAGTAGACATCGCTAACTGGCCCCTCTTAAGTGACTTGGAGAGGCAAAAAAAAAAAAAAAAGAGGAAAGACGGGGGGGTTTTTTTTTTTTCTTCTCTCCCTACTTCCTCCCCTGTTTCGAGGGGGGTTTCTCAGTCCCGCCTTTCAAGCAGCCAGCTTCATCACTGGTGGGGTGGGGGTGCAGGGGGGGGTGGAAATGCTCCTCTCCTGGACCGGGAGGATGTCTCGAAGCCACTGCCACCACTGAGGCTGGCTGGCTGGCTAGCTTCTCGAATGAAAGGGGAGGTATGGGGGGATTGGGGTGGGGGTGGGGGGGTTGGAAGGGGAAGCGAATGGACTGAAAAGGGCTCTGATTGGGAAGCAGGAGGGCTACGATTCAATTAAATCTTTAGTCATGGCAGGAGCATCAGGGGAGACAGACAATGCCTTGTAATTGCATTTGGCAGTCTCTCTCTCTCTCTCTCTCCCTCTCTTCCTTCCCACTGTCTCTCCGTCTTCCTCTCTCTCTCTCTCTCTCTGCCCGTCTCTCTCTTCCTTCCCTCTTCCTTCTCTTCTCTCTCCCTGTCTCTCTCTCCTCTCCCTCTCTTCCTCCCCTCTCTCCGTCTTCCTCGCTCTCTCCCTCTCTTCCTCCCTCTCTCCGTCTTCCTCCCTCTCTCCCTCTCTTCCTCCCTCTCTCTGTCTGTCTCTCTCTTCCTTCCCTCTTCCTTTTCTTCTCTCTCCCTGTCTTCCTCTCTCTGCCCGTCTCTCTCTTGCTTCCCTCTTTCTTCTCTTCTCTCTCCCTGTCTCCCTCTCTTCCTTCCCTCTGTCTTCCTCTTTCTCTCTCCTCTTCCTTCCCTCTCTCTCCATCTTCCTCCCTCTCTCTGCTCCTCTCTCTTCCTTCCCTCTTTCTTCTCTTCCCTCTCACTGTCTCTCTCTCTCTCTCTCCTCTTTCCCTCTCTTCCATCCCTCTCTCTCCGTCTTCCTCTCTCTCTCTCTCTCTGCCTCTCTTCCTTCTCTCTCCCTGTCTCTGTGTTCTCTCTCTCTCCCCCTCTCTCCCTGTCTTCCTCTTTCTGCCCGTCTCTCTCTCCTCCTTCTGTCTCTCCTCTTCTCTCTCTCTCTTCTCTCTCTCTTCTCTTCCCCCCCTCTCTCTCTGCCTGTCTATCTCTTCACTCTGTCTCTCCCTGACTCACTTCTCTCTCTTTCTCCGTCCCACCCACCCCTCTCTCTTACCAAAAAGGAGAAGAGGACTTTAGATACTGCAGCATATTTAAAACACAAGGGGGGGTGAAGGTGGGGACGAAGATCAGGCTAAGATGTTGACCCCGGTCTTCTAAGGAATTAGCCTCTGCATCGAATCATGTTTGGAAAATGGGGGCTTAGGCTATAAACGGTTTTCAGAGCCAGAAAACCCCCAGGAAGAGCTATTGTTCAATTCTCAGTGGAAATACCGTGTGCAAACAAGATGTTTCTCTACAAATAAAAGAGAATATTTGTCGCTAACGGTGTGAACTGTGAACTTGGTGCTCTCCGAGCTTGGTAGTTTCCTTGCAGACGTTTTATGACCCAACTGGATAACATCATCAGTGCTAGATGTTTGCATAGTGGAGGAGGAAGAGGAGGACTATGGGGTCCTTGGTGATCTCTGAGCTTATTTTCTTGCAGACGTTTCATTACCCAACTAGGTAACATCATCAGCGGTAGAGAGTGTGGGGGGGTTGCTCTTGGTTTATATATAGTTTATATACAGATAAGCAGGGATTCACACCAGACAAACAACAAAGCAGAAAACAATATCCCAATCAATGAACTACCAAGGAGGAAACCACATCCTCCATGCCTAAATGGGAGCAAACTCAACACTCACTAGCACTGATGATGTTATCTATTTGGGCAATAAAACGTCTGCCAGAAAACAACCAAGCTCAGAGAGCATCAAAGACCCTACAGTTTTCTCTCTCTTTTGCCTTTCTTCCTTTTCAACCTTTACTGGGTGGCAATAATAACTGTAATAACAACTATTAATAGCAGCAGCAACAGAAGAAGAATTAATCTGCATTCCGAAGAAGCTAATGGTTGCACTTCTGTATGAGTGCTAAGATCAGTGACTCATTCAGAGAAACAGCTAAGGATCGTTCATTGTCGTATAGACAGTCCTCGACTTATAACCACAACCGTGCCCCAAATTTCTGCTGCTCAGCGAGACAGTTGCCAAGTCAGTTTTGCCCCATTTTGTAACCTTTCTTCCCACTGTCGTTAAGTGAGTCACACGGTTGTTCAGCGAATTCGGCTTCCCCATTGACTTTGCTGGTCAGAAGGGGTCACAAAAGGGGATCACGTAACCCCGGGACACTGCAAACCGTCATAAATATGAGTCAGTGGCCAAAGGTCCAAATTTTGATCATGTGAGCCTGGGGATGCTACAGAGTGTGGGATTTATATATAGTTTATATACAGATAAGCAGGGATTCACACCAGACAAACAACAAAGCAGAAAACAATATCCCAATCAACGAACTACCAAGGAGAAAACCATATCCTCCATGCCTAAATAGGGAGCAAACTCAACACTCACTAGCATAAGTCATAAGTTGTATGTCATAAGTTGCTTTTTCCAGTGCTGTTGTAACTTCCGATGGTCATTAAACAGACGCTTTATAAGTTGAGGCCTCCCTGTGTTGAAAATGGCTCCAAGATCCCCGCAGATGAGGACTGCAGCCAAGAAATTAAAAGACGCTTGCTCCTGGGGAGGAAAGCTATAGCAAATCTAGACAGCCTACTAAAAAGCAGAGACATCACCCTGCCAATGAAAGAGCGTATAGTCAAGACGATGGTTTTCCCAGTTGCAATGGATGGCTGTGAAATTAGGAAGGCTGAGCGCCAAAGAATGGAGGCCTTTGAACGATGGTGCTGGAAAAGAAGACTCCTGCGAGTCCCTTGGACTGCAAGGCGATCCAACCGGTCAGTCCTAGAGGAGATCAACCCTGACTGCTCTTTAGAAGGCCAGATCCTGAAGAGGAATCTCAAATACTTTGGCCACCTGATGAGAAGAAAGGACTCCCTGGAGAAGAGCCGAATGCTGGGAACGATGGAGGGCAAAAGAAGAAGGGGACGGAAGAGAAGGAGGTGGCTGGATGGAGTCACTGGAGCAGTCGGCGTGAACTTAAATGGACTCCAGAGGATGGTAGAGGACAGGAAGGCCTGGAGGAACATTGTCCATAGGGTCGCGATGGATCGGACACAACTTTGCAACTAATAACAACAACAACATAGTTAGATCTCACGTCTCTAAAGAGCTACTCTTCCTCAACACAGGTGGGAGAACAAACCAAGGCATGTGAAATACATATATATATATATATATATATATATATATATATATATATATGTATATATGTATGTATGTATGTATGTATGTATTTGATCAGCTCTGCTTGTCAAATTGTGTATAATAAGCTTTTATGAAATCAGAGCGAAAGGAGGGTGGAGAGGCAGTTGTATCCTTGATGTGCATATGTGTTTTTTTTTAAGCGAAACTCAAAATACAGTAGCTTCCCCCTCCTTTTTTTTTTTTTATTATTATTATTATTTTTTTAGAAAAAACACAAAACAAACGGTGATTTTCTTCCTGCAGTCTCCAGGACTTCTCCAGCTGGTTGCCACAGAAACTAGCCGAGAAATAATTCTCGGTTGGACAGACTTGTGTGGCGAACAAGGTTGCGAGAAGAATGTTAAGCATCGCGTTTTACGTCGTTGAGGGAGTATCTTAGAAAGCTTTGGGGAAGAGGCGGGGGGTTAGGAGTCACCAATTTTGGGGGGAGGGTTGGCTTCCTCTCTCTGTCCCTCTGGATGTAGGATAAAGGTTCTTCGCGGCCAACGGAGGAGACCGGACAATGGAAGTGGACGTTGGTTGACCGTGTACCGCAACCAAAGGGAAAGAAGTTTTCCCTTTTGAAAACATGATTGACAGAAAGCCACCGTCTGAAAGGGGGGAAAAAAACAGTGGGTCTCTGAATGATAACCTGTGCCCGAACAGGCACTCCACCCGGGGAGCAACAGGCATTCTCACAAGCTCCAAGAGAAAGTTGGAAATACAGATAAGTTACCCCGAGTTACCACAGGACCGTCCGAAGTTACGACGTCACCGAAAAAGGTGACTTACAAACCATTTCCTCTCACGTTGCTGTCATTGTGGCATCTCCCACGGTCGCGTGATAAAACATTCAGCCGCGTGGCACGCGTTTATGACGGTTCACAGCGTCGCGGAGGTCACGCGATCCCCTCTTTCTGATCTGACCTTATGACCATTTTTCACACTTGCGACCGTTGCAGGATCCCCATGGCCACGGGATCATTTCACCTCATATTTATGACGGTCACAACGTCCCGGGGTCGCGTGGGATCCCTTTTTTGCGACCTTCTGAACGAGTCAAGTCAAGGGGGAAGACAGATTCACTTCATAACCGTGTTTCTAAGTTCACAAGCGCAGCGATTCGCTTAACGACGGTGGCGAGAAAGGTGGTAAAACAGGGCAAAATTCATTTCACAAGCGTTTCGCTTAGCGATGGAAAAACCCGGATGTCCGTTGCGGTCGTACGTCGAGGAACTGCCTGTACTTTGACCTACATTTTCAAGCGTTTGTTCTATGCTGGACTTCGAATAGCATGCTGGGAAGTTTTCAGCCCCGAAAAGCATACAAGCCAGCCCGGCTTTTATTTTAAATAAAGAAAAAGAAATCAAAGCAACAATTCAATTTTCTTTCGTTGGCTTTAAATGGAATTAAAACGAATTAACCCCGGCAAAGCGGATGATGACTCATGCAGATGTTCTGATGGTCTCCTTCTGGAAAAATTCAGAGAGTTCAACGTTATGATTGTATCCAAATTTAAGGAGCCGGAAAAGAAAGACATCTCGTTTTCATCTTTCTCCCAAAACTGTGCCAGCCCATCTTTTCTGTATAACAGGTAGTCCTCGGTTCACGGAGTGATCATTCAAAGTTACGACG